CGATCACTATTCGTCACTCGACCATAATTTCACGAATCATTACCCCACAATAAATAACACCTACTAATCTTCACTTTACAATGCGTAATCAAGTGTCTTACACAAATCACATAACTTTCTTAATTATATAATATAAATTAAACAAAAATTATAATCATTATATATATAAATATCTATAGTTTATATATTATATATATATTATACTTAAACTTTAAATTATTATTCGTCATCGTTTAACTTTGGACAAAAAATCAGATTTTATCAAATAAAATGAAACTTAACATAGTGAATAGGTCGACTGGTGTAAATTATGAGCATAATATCTTCTCCTCTCTCTCTCTCTTTCTCTTTCTCTCTCTTTCTCTCTCTCTCTCTCTTTCTTTTCCCTAGTAGTTTCTCGTGGAAAGCCACGAACTCGACGTCGTGTTTTACATATGCATGGGAGAGTAAGCGAGCATGTAACGGCTAAGTGGCCACATCCCCTTACGTGAAAGTTAAGTGGGCATGGCGTAGCACGAGCCATGGGGCCACGGGCCGAGAAAATTATCTTCAATTATCTCGCCCGATCGAAGTCCTTTATCTTTTTTTCTTTTTCTTTTTCTTTTTCTTTTCCTCTATCTCTCTTTTTTTTCTTTTTATTTTCTTATACATTAATCTTCCTATTATTACAAATTTATTATTATTTAATCGTATATATATATTTTATTATTGTTATAATACTCAAACGTTTTCTATAGAAAATGATCAGAGTTTTAATATTGATTATTAAAACCGTTTGTTTAGCAATACTTTGACGAGTCTGACTCGTTCTTCAGTTTTCACTCGGTTTTCAGTTCGTTATAAGCATCATTATTATTATTTGGGCTAGAAATTTGATGGGAAAAGGTATTGAAATCGATCTAATGTAAGATAATCATAAGATTAATGAATTTAAGATGATATTTTATTGATAAAACTTACCATAATAATATATAGATATTATATTATTATAAGAATCAGGATTTATCTCTTACACATTAATGAAACAAAAATATATTTTAATTTCCTTACATGCACTCTACAACTTTACCTGTAACTCTTACAAATACTACTTTTGAAAAAAAACGTCTTGATCTATTAATAGAAATATCTATTTACATTTACTTAAAAGAAAAGAAAAACATCTTTAACCTACCATAGAAATATTCACGCACATATTCAAGGCAGATCGCAAACAAATTTCTTCATCTTTTTTCTCTCTTTCTCTCTCACACAATTTTCTACATTATATTATATTATTAGAATAAACCAAAAGAATTCGTGTGTTTTTAAATTAATATTTCTACGTCATGCAGTTTATATAACAATGTATAACACAATAAACACACGAACTTTTCTGCTTTACTTTAACATATATATATGCAGTTTATATTACACAATTTATAATACAATAAAACACACAAACTT